GGGGGGGTGATGGGGGGGCTGTGCCCACCGGAGCCCCCTGGTGGCCGGGCTGGGCAGGCTCAGGACAGCGAACCTCTTCATGGCCAACCAGCCAGGCCGGGGTGGAGGCCCAGGGAGGGAGTCAGCCCCGCCGGTACCTGCCAGTGTGGCTTCGCCAGTAAGACTCATCGGAGGCCTCTTTGGTGTCTTCCATTTCCTGGGCCGAGCGGATGAGATCCTGAATGTTCTCCATCATGAGCGGGACCGAGTCCACCTCCCGGACGTGCGGGGTGAAGGACGGCGCGTCGGCCGCCAGAGCCTCGGCCTGGAACTTGCCTTCCGAGTCGCTCTGCAGACTGGACATGCTCTCCAGCGCCTCCTGCGTCCCCACTGCCTCCTGCCTGCCCTCCTCCTCCTCCTCCTCCTCCTCTTCCTCCTCCTGCTCCTCTTCCTCCTCCTCCTCCTCCTCCTCTTCCTGCTCCTCCTCCTCCGCCCCCTCCTCCTCCTCTTCCTCCTCGTTATGCACCCCATCGGTCTTGTGCTCATGCAACAGTTCCTGCTTATGCGCATCGGCGCCCATTTTGTGACTGTTGGGCTGCTCCTGGCCTCCCAGGGACAAGGATGACTGAAGCAGTTCCTCCACGTTGCTGTTCAGGCGTTCCGGCCACGGCTGGAAGACCTGACGTTCCGTGGCTGTGGCATGGTCCGACCCATGAAAGAGGAGAGAAAAGACAGACAGACCCTTAGCCGGGAGCTGGTGCGCATGCCTTTAATCCCGGCTACTCAGGAGCTGAGATCTGAGGATCACAGTGCAAAGCCAGCCTGGGTAGGAAAGTCTGTGAGACTCTGATCTCCAGTGAACCACTAGAAAACTAGAAGTGGCGCTGTGGCTCACGTGGTAGAGCCCTCGCCTTGAGCTGAAGAGCTGAGGGACAGCGCCCAGGCTCTGAGATCAAGGCCCAGGGCCAACAAGAACAAAAGAACAAAGGAAGGAAGGAAGGAAGGAAGGAAGGAGGGAAGGAAGGAAGGAAGGAGGGAAGGAAGGAAGGAAGGAAGGAAGAAGGGAGGGAGGGGAAAGGTGGCTCACACTTGTAATACTACCTACTAAGGAGCTGAGATCTGAGGATCATGGTTCAAAGCCAGCCTGGGCAGGAAAGTCCATGAGACTCTGATCTCCCATGAACCTCCAGAACACCAGAAGTGGCGCTGTGGCTCAAGTGGTAGAGTGCCAGCCTTGAGTAAAAAAGCTGAGGGACAGCGCCCAGGCCCTGAGTTCAAGAACAAAGACTGGCAAAAAAAAAAGACATAACACCAAGCTGCAGGATTCCAAGTGTGTTTATCTACAGACATGTTTAACAACTGGAAAAAAAAAAGGACAAAGGAACAGAAAAGTCATCACACGTGTACATTCCGTTACATCTGATTCAACAGCAAAGCAGTAAGCCACAATTAAAAAATCAAACCAAAGCCCAACACTAATGGCTTACACCTGGAATCCAGCTACTCAGGAGGCCGAGATCCAAGGATCACACGATTCAAAGCCAGCCTGGGCAGGAAAGTCTGCAAGACTCTTCTCTCCAATGAACCCCCAGAAAACCGGGAGTGGTGCTGTGGCTCAAGTGGTAGAGCACCAGCCTTGAGCAAAAGCAGCTCAGGGACACAGCGCGCAGGCCCTGAGTTCAAGCCCCAGGACTGGCAAACAGAAGAAGTAAAAAATACCGACTATGCACCCGGCACTACATTATAAGATGCTGTGTGCCAGCCACTCTGCTTACAGGCTGGGTGTATTGATAGGATTAGCAGAGGCTGAGCGCCTGATCCCCTAGATTGGAACAGCTTGGCTAAAACCTGCTTGGAGCCTAGCCAGCGTGTGCAGTTCAACACGTGGTAGAATGAGGAAGCGCGCAGCCACGCCCCCAAGGCCTGTAGTACGAGCGGCTGCGCAGGTACACTGGGAAAATCAAACAGGGAATCCGGCTGCACCTGCTACCCCAGGGCATCATGGGAAAAGATGTCCCTCCAGACAAGCCACCACCTGCGCTGGCGGCTCCCGCCTGTCATCCTGGCTACTCAGGAGGCTGAGATCTGGGGATGGAAGTTCAAAGCCAGCCTAGCAAGAAAGTCCCTGTGAGACTTTTTGTTTGTTTGTTTGTTTTGTTGGTTGTGGGGCTTGAACTCTGGGCTTGGGCGCTGTCCCTCAGCTCTTCAGCTCCAGGTGGGTGCTCTACCACTTAAACCACTACGCCACTTCTGGTTTTCTAGTGGTTTATTGGAGATAAAAGTCTCATGGCCTTTCCTGCCTAGGCTGGATTTGAACCTCAATCCTCAGATCTCAGCCTCCTGAGTAGCTGGGATGACAGGTGTGAGCCACCAGTGCCCAGCTCCAATTTTCATTTAAAAACGTAAGCTTGCTTACAACCTTTATGCACAGGCTGGGAAGGTGCCCTGCATGCATGAGGCCCTGGGTTCGATTCCTCAGCACCACATAAGCAGAAAAAGCCGGAAGTGGTGCTGTGGCTCAATTGGTAGAGCGCTAGCCTTGAGCTGAAGAGCTGACGGACAGAGTTCAGGCCCCAGGACTGGCAAAAAAAAAAAAAAAAAAAACACAAGCAAACCTTTGTGCACAAATGTGTGTGTGAAAGTTCAAACTAATCTAATAATTTTCATAACATGATGTGAGAAAGTTTAGTCTTTTCTATCAAACTACAAGGCTGCTGTTTTGTATGGCGATTTTGTTTTGGTACTGTATTTCCTAGAATTTCTTTTTGACTACTGTCTGTACTATTGGTGACCAGCCATAGGAGGAGAGTGAGTCTTGTGTTGAAGGAGTTAAAAGAATGAATTGTAATTACCCTATGTGGAATTAAAAAAACTAAGACTACTGGGCACCAGCCTGTCATCCCAGCTACTCAGGAGGCTGAGATCTCAGGATCATGGTTCAAAGCCAGCCCAAGCAGGAAAGTCTATGAGACTCTGATCTCCAGTAAACCACCAGAAAAACCGGAAGTGATGCTGTGGCTCAAGTGGTAGAGCGCCCGCCTTGAGCTGAAGAGCTGAGGGACAGCGCCCAGGCCCTGAGTTCTGGCCCCTGGACCAACAACAACAAAAAAAAATGAAGGTGATGACCAAGCTCCCAGACACATGTGCTGAAATTGGACTGTTATGTGTAACTACTGGCAAGCAGGATTTGCTCCTGGATACAAAGATAAGAGTTCCACTAGCTCTCTGCAAGTTTGTCTCTTCCACAAAGTAACAACTGTTACAGCTATGATCTCAGAAGAAGTCAGTCAGGAAAGGAATCCAGCTGCCATCTGTGATTTGCTGGAAAAAGAATCATTTAGGGGCTGGGCAGGTGGCTCAGTGGTAGAGTTGCTTGCCTAGCATGCATGAAGCCCTGGGTTCCATTCCTCGGGACCACATCCACAGAAAAAGCCGGAAGTGGCGCTGTGGTTCAAGTGGTACAGAGCCAGCCTTGAGCAAAAGAAGCTCAGGGACAGCGCCCAGGCCCCGAGTTCAAGACCCTGTTACCCCCCCTCCCAAATCATTTAGCATGCCAACAATTTTAAAGGATTACATTGTTTTAATATAAGTGACAATTTCATATCAGTGACAATGTGTGAAAAACACCTGGAGAGAGAAATTGAGGAAGATGGCTGCCAATGGAAGGAAGCTGTCAGACAGAAGGACAGAACGGAAGGAAAGAAGGGAGGAGGGAGGGAGGGAGGAAGAGAGGGAGGGAAGGAAGGAAAGAAAACAATTGAACAAGAAAACACAAACACCAACACGAATGTAGCCAGTCAAGGTGGATCACGCCTCTCACCTTTGCTACTCAGGAGGCTGAAATTGGGAGGTTGCAAGAACAGTTCGAACAAAAAGGCCACCAGCTCCCATCTTAACCAATAAAAACAAATAAGGTGCACGGCATGGGAGGCTCAGTACCGCCAAGCTGACCCACAGAGCAAGATCCTAGAACAAACAGACAAAAGCCCCGAGTACCAGGATCCCAGTTCAAAGCCAGCCTGGGCAGGAAAGTCAGTGAGACTCTGATCTCCAAGAAACCACCAAAAAGCCGGAAGCGGCGCTGTGGCTCAGATGGTCGAGCGCCAACCTTGAGCTGAAGAGCTGAGGGACAGCGCCCAGGCCCCGAGTTCAAGACCCAGGACTGGCTGGAAAGGAAAAAAAGGAAAGAAACAGAGACTCCCCCACTTCTCCGGTCATGGAGCCCCCCCAGGCCTTGGGCCCTGTACCCCAAATGCAGAGACCGGTCACCTGTGGCCCGGGAGGCGGAGGGGGAGCCGGTGGTGGTGGATGGGGGTTCCACGGGCGATTCCACCTCCTTGAGTGTGTTGGGCGAGAGGATGGAGACCGGCTGGGAACAGCGCACTCTCTGCAGGAAGGGAAGAGAGATGGGAAGGGTTCCGCAGTGGGCGGGCCTTCCTGCCCTGGGACCCCTCCATCCCCACCCCACCCCACCCCACCCCCACGGCTCCCGGATGGGGATGGAGGCCTGGGGAAGTAGTGTCTGTCTGTGTCACACTGTGGAACTGCGTGCTGGTTCCTGGGCTTGGCACACCTGCTAGGTGCTCTACCGCTTGAGCCATGCCTCCAGCCTGACCTTTTGCTGGTTGGTCTCTGGAATTTGTTTCTTTCTTATAGTCAGTGCTGGGGCTTGAACTCAGGGCCTGGGCGCTGTCCCTGAGCTTCTCTGGCTCAAGGCGAGCGCTCTACTGCTGCTTTTGTTTGAGCACTTTGTTTTACAGGTAAGAGTCTCATGCACTTTCTGGCCAGGGGCTGGCTTTGAACCGCGATCCTACAGATCGCAGCCTCCTGAGTAGCCGGGATGACAGGCGGGAGCCACTGCACAGGCCTGTGTGTGATGGACTGGATTCTATCCTGGGGTGAAGGCAGGGAGGCGGGAGCTACAGAGGGGGTCCAGGGCTCCCCCCTCCCCCAGGGGGCCGCTCCCCGCGTGACCCGCCGCCCTCGAACCCCTGGAACCTCACCTTGGCATAGTACACGTGGTTGGAGCAACGATACTGCGTGAACTGGCAGAAGGATTCGAACCAGGAGGCGTAGGGGAGGTCGGAGCAGACGGCGCCTGGGGGGGGAGGAGAGTGAGGCGGGGGCGGGGCTGCCCGCCCCTCCCCTCACCCCGGCCCGGCCCCGCCCCCAGCGCGGCCCGGCCCCGCCCCCAGCGCGGCCCGGCCCCGCCATCCGGGTACCTGGGTGCCCACCGACATGCTCTGCGCGGTGAGCAGGATGCTGGTGAAGGGCGTGCGGTGCGAGCCGTCGCACTGCTGGCGCCGCAGGTCGCCCTCCGTCTGGCACTGCTCCAGCTTCAGCGAGCAGAAGGCGCACAGCGCGCACGTGGGCCGGTGCCGCCGCCCGAAGTTGTCGCACACCTGCGGTGGAGAGGGGGCAGAGGGCGGGCTGGGCGCGTCAGCCGGGGGATTCGAACTCGGGGCCTGGGCGCTGCCCCTGAGCTTCAGCTCCCGGCGGGCGCTCCACCCCTTGAGCCACAGCGCCAGGTCTGGTTTTTGGTGGGTTCATGGGAGATCAGCGTCTCCCGGACTTTCCTGCCCAGGCTTTGGACCTCGATCCTCAGACCTCAGCCTCCTGAGTAGCTGGGATGACAGGCGGGAGCCACGACGCCCGGCCTGGGTTTAGCTTGTTTTTTGTCAGTGGTGGGTCTTGAACTCTGGGCCTGGGCGCTGTCCCTCAGCTCTTCAGCTCCAGGCTGGCGCTCTACCACCTGAGCCACAGCGCCACTTCTGGCTTTTTCTGCTTATGCGGTGCTGAGGAATCGAACCTAGGGCCTCAGGCATGCAAGGCTCTACCACTGGGCCACCTGCCCAGCCCCTATTTTATTTTTATTAATTACTAAAAAAAAAAAAGCTGCGCACCAATAGCTCCCGCCTGTCATCCCAGCTACTCAGGAGGCTGAGATCTGAGGACCATGGTTCAAAGCCAGCCTAGGCAAGAGTCTGTGAGACTCTGATTTCCAATGAACCATTCAGAAAACCGGAAGTGGCGCTGTGGCTCAAGGGGTAGAGCACCAGCCTGGAGCTGGAGCTCAGGGACAGCGCCCAGGATCTGAGTTCAAGCCCCACAACCGACCAAAATAAAGTTGGTGTTCTACCACATGACGCACAGCTCCATTTCTGGGTTTTGCTGGTTCATGGGAGATAAGAGGCTTGGAACTGATATCCTCAGATCTCACTTCATTGTTGTTTTTTTAACTCTGGGCCTGGGCACTGTCCTTGAGCTTGTTTTGCTCAGGGATGGCGCTCTACCACTTGAACCACAGCGCCACTTCCAGCTCTCTTGGGTAGTTTATTGGAGATCAGAGTCTCACAGACTTTCCTGCCCAGGCTGGCTTTGAACTGCGATCCTCACTCAGATCTCAGCCTCCTGAGTAGCTGGGCTGACAGGCGGGAGTCACGGGCACTCGGCCTATGTGATCTTTCTGTAGGGAAGCTCTGATTTCTGTCCACAGCTCTTCCCGATGTCCTTACCCCAAATGGCATCTTAACCACTGCTGAGCTACAGGGATCCCTAGGAGCCCACAGACCTTTTCCCTTCCCTGCTAATATTTCCAGAGCGGGAACACAGCGGGGCACTAGAGCTGTCCATTTTCATCTTATTTCATCTTCTCAACACCCACATAGTGACATCAGAAAAGCAAAACAAAACTAGCCGGGCACTGGTGCTCACGCCTGTCATCCCAGCTACTCAGGAGGCTGAGATCTGAGGATCCCAGTTCAAAGCCAACCTGGGCAGGAAACTCAGTCAGACTCTGATCTCCCATGAACCATCAGAAAACCGGAAGTGGCTCTATGGCTCAAGTGGTAGAGCGCCAGCCTTGAGCTGAAGAGCTGAGGGACAGCGCCCAGGCCCTGAGTTCAAGCCCCACCACCGACAAAAAAGTAAACAAAAAATATAAAAAAGGCCCCCCCCCAAAAAAATACCCCAAACTGTGCTATTATAGTAGATGCCCCAATATATATGTCTGCTCACTGATGGGGAAACTGAGGGCCGGAGGGGTCCAGGAATTGTTTAAAGCCACAGGTGGCTGAGAGCAGGTGAATTGGGTCTGGGTGCTGGTGGCCACACCTGTCCCTCAGGAGACTGAGATCTGAGGATCCGGGTTCAAAGCCAGCCCCGGGTAGGCAAGTCCATGAGACTCTGCTGTCCAACTAGCTACCAAAAATAAGCTGGCAATGGAGTTGTGGCTCAAGTGGTCGAGCGCCAGACTCGAGGGAAAGACCAAAAATAAAGCTCCAGGACAGAGCGCAGGCCCTGAGTTCAAAACCCAGGGCAGACACAGAGCAAAGAATGGTGCGTGGCGGGGTGAGCGGGGCTCTGGACGTGTTGTGCATGTTCACGGGTGGGCAGGCTCCCACGCGGGGGCTGGGGCCCTGCCCAGGACAGACCCCGACCCAGGGGCCTCGGCTTCCGGTGGCCACTGCGGTCAGCTCCCTCTCTCCTCTCTCTCTGTCTCCTTTCTTTCCTCTATGTCTCTGACTTTTGTCTGTCTGTCTCTTGTCTGTCTCTCCTGTCTCTGTGCCGGGGGTGGGGTGGGAGGCTGGAGGGAGGAGGCCGGAGGGAGGAGGCCGGAGGCGGAGGCCGCGTTGGCGGGCTTGGCAGCGTACCGACTTGCCGAAGCCCAGGAGCACTTCCTCTAGGTAGCTCCAAGCCCTGGCGGCGGGGGTGACGATGCAGGAGTTCTCCAGAATGGAGTAGCACATCACCAGCAATGCATCGCTGTGCGGCAGCTGCAGAAGGCTGCAAGGAGACACGACTCACTGGCCGCGGCCTGGAATGGCGGTGGTGGCGGTGGCCTGGCTTCCTCGGCCTCCCGGAGCAGCTTCATCCTCGCCACCCACCCAGGACCCCGGGGGGGAAGGGGACAGATCAGCGCCCGGCGTGGTGGTGGTGGTGGTGGCGGCGTGTTGTGAGAGTCATCCCGGTGGAGGCTGACAGGCCGGAGGTCGGCAAATGGAGGCCCGGCCGGGGAGCCAAAGTGAGGCCGGCTGGGGCAAGCAACGCGGTCTCCAAACACTCAAACAAACAAAGGCAACTCATCAAGGAAGGAGAAAGAACTTTTTCGACATTGTGTCACTTTGGGGGGGCGGGTAATAGAGCAGAAGTGAATCCATGTGGAGGGGGCCGAGGGGA